TGGTTTTCTGCTTCTCTTATCTCTCTTTTTCATCTTTTTTCTCTTTTGTTCAATGAGATTTCCCCAATTTTGTGGTTTTTTTCCCCCTTTAATTGATTTAAAAATTACAGCAGTCATATTTCTAATTTTCAAGAAGGCTTCCTGTCTTGGTTGTTCCTTTCTTTATATATTGTGTTTGTTTCATGAAACATGATTTTCTTTCATCTCTCTGAAGATACTGAAGACTATATAGCTAGTTAGAAAAGACCAGTGACCCCAGTAGACTTTCTATTCATTTTGTTACAGCCACAGTTGCCTTTCTACTTTTTCCATTACTCATTTATCTATTCATGAACTACTTATAAATACCTGTCGTTTAATAGGCACTGCTCTAGGTGCTATGAGTACAACAGTGAACAAAACAAAAGTCCCTATCTTCATTTAACTTGCATTCTAGTGAAGGAGAAACACAATAAGATAAATAAATAAAAATCATAGTGTGCTGTGTAATGGTAAGTTCTGAGGTGGAAAAATATTGAGTAAAAACTTTAAGGGAGTCTGGCCAGTGTGCTCAGTGGTTGAGCATCAACCTATGAACCAGAAGGTCACGGTTCAATTCCCCATCAGGGCACATGCCAGGGTTGCAGGCTCGATCCCCAGCAGGGGATGTGTAGGCGGCAGCCAATCAATGATTCCCTCTCATCATTGATGTTTCTATCTCTCTCTCCTTCTCCCTTCCTCTCTGAAATCAATAAAAATATATTAAAAAAAACTTTAAGGGAAATGAGGAAGGGAAATGCTGACATCTTAGGGATAATTTTTCCAGGTGGAAATCTTTAAGTACAAAGGTCTGATATTAGAGTGTTGAGGAAAAGCAAGAATACCGTGGCCAGAGCTAAGTGAAAGAGAGGAAGAATGATGGAAGGTGAAGTTAGAAAGGGAACTGGAGGCCAGATGTTAGATTTTAGAGGACACAACTAGGGTAAAATTAATGATAACTCCAAGCTTGAGGCCTGAACAACTGGAAAAATATAGCAGTCATCAAATGGCATGAGAAAGACTCAGGCATTAATTGAGATGGAAAAGTTATAGAAAGGATAGTTTGGGGGTTGGTACATATCAGAAGTTCAGTTGAACGTGTTAAATTTGAGAAGTTATATTGCATATTGGATATGCAGAAGAGAGATGTGAATTATGAACTTACAAATTTGGGAGTCATCAATATATAGATGACAGAGACAGGAGATTACATGGAATTGCTTAGGTGGGGAGAATAGATAGAATAAAGGAGAGGTTTAAGGGCTGAATCTTTGGGTACTCCAATGGGTTAAGGAGGTCAGAAAGATAAGGAGGAGACCAGCAAAGAACAGTGGAATAAGAAATTGAAGGACAACCAGACAAATATTCTAGAAGCCAAGTAAGAAAGTATTTCAAGAGAAAAATGTCAAAATAAGAGTAGGACTGAAAACTAACCACTGAATTTATCAATGAGGAGGTTGTTGGTGACTTTGACTAAAGCAGTTATGGTGAAGTCATGGTGGGGTTTGGAAAAGAGGCAAAAACCTGTTGGCAAAGGTTTAAGAAGGAATGAGAGAAGGGACTATACAGATAATGATTTTAGAAAAGCAAGCAATGTCAGTTGCTGCAGGCACAAGTGGGGGTGAGAGGTTTTGTTTTGTTTGATAGGAATGATTATAGAGAGAAGGGAAGTTTCTGGAGTGATGTTCTTGATAGATACAGAAGGGATGGACTCATCTGCATAAATACAATAATTGTCCGTAGCTAGGAGAACATGCAGCTCATCCATAATAAAAGGATATAAAATAGATTATATGGAGGAGATTCAGGTAGGTGGGGTGTTTGTTGTTGTAGGACTTTGCAGGAGGTTGTGCCATGTTGTTTATTGGGGCAGGAGATGGAAAAATGAGGTGTTAGGGTATTAAGAAGAGAGGAGAAAGTATGAAATATTTACCCAGAAGAGCAGCATACTGAATAAATCAGAGAAACATAGTATAATTGCCATGAAGCGTTAAGGACACAGTTGAGATTATGATGATGAAATTCAAGTGAGACCAGCTGGCATCTTGGTGTACTTTACTCTGGCTAAATGAAGCTGCAAGGTTATAGGCCCAGAGTAGCAAAGTTGAATTTAATCGGCAACTTGCCATAGTCTCAATTTCAAGGGTTCCATTCTTCTATCTTTCCAGTACTGTCTCTAGTATCTCAACTCTAAGAGACAGCCCTTTTATGCCCAACACGACCCACTAATCCTTTTCATTGTCCACCCAATCCATGTCTTCACTTCCCTCCAAACCCACCTTCAATTCCCTTGCCCTTTTTTCTCTTCATGGAATTTATTTGACTAAACTACAACCCTTTACTCACATTTCTGTTCCAATGTCACCTTATTGGAGAGGATGACCCTGACCATCCTAAATAGTTTGTGTAATTCCCTCACTTCTAATTACTTTCTATTCTCTTACACTGCTTTATTTTTCTTGTTAACATTTATCACTACCTGATTGATCACTTATTTATCTAATGAATGAATTCTTTTTTTTCTAGCTCCTCCCACCAGAATGTAAGCTCCATGATAGAGTTGGAACTTTGTTTTGTTCATTATTGTATCCCCACCATCTAGAACAGTACCTGCCCTATCATAAGCATTCGGACATAGTTGGTGAATGAATAAAGTCACAAACCACCCTCAGAGGATAAGGGAATTATAGTACAGTGGCTAAGAGTCCAGCTCCAAAGTCTATCAAGTGAGTTTGTGACTTAACTTTGCTCAGTCTCTGCTTATCATCTGCACAGAGGAACTGAGAGTAGTACTTACTTCAAAGAGCTATTAAGATGAAATGAAAAAAATAACAACGATGAAATGAGATGATATGTGTGAACATCTTACAGGGTACTTAACACACAAAATCTCTGGATTTTCTTCTGTAGTCTTTCCATACTTGAAATTAGAGATTGTATCTGCTTACAAGGCTTGTGACTCTCTTTTCCCAGCAACCTGAGATTCTTGGCTTGAGTGACTTGCCCACAGTCTAGGATGACTTTAGTACTCTAGACCCCACTTTCTACCTTTCCTCTTACCAAGACTTCTCCTACATCCCCTCCTTCCCGCAGGAACCGTGTTCAGTGTACTGTCACACCGCTAACCTTCCTGGTAAAGTAATTCATGCTCAGGTATTAGCGTTTGTTAATGGCAGATTATGCTATTCCTGTCAGTATTAGCATTTAATTTAGAGACTAATATTTTTAAAGTAAAGCAAACAATGGTGAAAATAATATGAAGTGACTAAGGGCCTTTTTGTTTTGGTGTGTTTTTTATTTTTTACATTCCTTAGCTCACTTCCTACAGGTGGCTGCCAACTTCATCTCCAAGTTAGAGCAGTTCTGACTATGCCTTATCTTTCTTTCCAAGCATATTATACGCAACATGAATTTCCTTAAACAGAATCATAGAGGCTTAGATTCAGAGGGACTTCAGAGATTATCAGGACCAGAGGCTTTCAATCCCCACCCCTTCTTTTTAAAGAAGCAAAACCCTTTTCTCAAGTGAAATGTTATGTGGAAACTTCATATATAGATGAATAAAAGCACAGCTGATTCCTAAACCCAGGACTCCAAGCTCTGTAGGTCTCTCTTTGTTGTCTGGGGCAGTCCCCTGAGGGCACTTCCATGGAACCCTTAGGGCTCCCCAGAGTGCTGTTTTAAAACCACTAATTTACACCAACCCTTTCATTTTCCAGCTGAGGAAATACCCGGGGAGTTTGTGTTTTATCCAGTGTTACAGGGTAAATTAGTCGGATTAAGAGCAGTCCTCTCATGTGCCACACTTAGGAAAATACTATTAGACAGGGATGGAACGTCTCTTTTCTGATGCAGATAACTTTTACTATCTCATTTCTTTTAATTAGCAATTTTTTATTTAGTGTAATACATGTGGGACACTTTCTGTGGCTGTAACTGATACAGAGAAGTAGGAGGTAGAACCCTTTGCCTTAAGAAAGCATCTAGTATACTTGGGAAGATAACATGCAGTTGAAAAGCTATAGTACATTGAAACACAGCTCCAGGAGTTGAGATGTAGCAAAGCCGTGTGGAATGAATTAAAAATAAATAAATTAGAAATAAATAATAAGCTCTGTTGGAACTCGGGGGGTGGGGGGAGCTACTCCAGTGGAGCTAGAGAAAGTTTTAAAGAGAAGTGACTGAGCTGAGTAGGACTTGGCTCAATAACTAAGTGTAAGGCAATTAATACTGTGAATAAGAGCAGAATTTGTGTGTCTTCCAGCTCCTTCACTTGCCTCTGTATAATATTGAGCAAGTTCTTAACCTTTGAGCCTGTTACTTCATTGGCAAAACAGTGATATGTGGCAGGTATATTAATTAAGGACATACTAATTGGTGAAACATAAACCTTAAAATGTCAGTTATCACAATAAAAGTTTATTTTTCCCTTGTATCAGCGTCTATGTTCAACAGCTTTCCTGAGGTCCTTCAGGGACCCAGGTTCTTTCTCTTTTGGTTTCCACCTTCCCTAGGTCTTTTTTTTTTTTTTTTCCTGGACAGAGAGTGGGGAATTCTGCTGGGGAGGTTTTCAGGAGCTTGGCCTGAAGGTCATGTACAACACTGCCCATTTTCTCTTGGCCAAGCTGATTTACAAAGTTATACCTAAACACAGAGGAGGTAGTTAAGTGTGCAAAATTTGGAAAGAAAGTAAGTCTTCGTGAGCACATAGAGATCTCTGCAACCTCATAGAGTTGTTAGGAGGATTGGAGGAAATAATGTATGTGTCATGCTTTGTACAGGGCATAACATGTAGAGGTACTTAAACATCCTTTTTAAAGGAAAGGAAAATTTATATAATGTTTTGCTGAGTATGGACAATTTACTTAATTTTTATTAACATGTGTTTTAACCTTTTTGGAGAGGTATCTATTTTTAACTTTTGGTAATGATGATATTCAAATGCGTCTTCTTGGCAAATTCTTTGTTTCTTTTTCTGTTAGCATGGTGTTATTGCAACAGAAGATGAAGAATATTTTATTGAACCATTAAAGAATACCACAGAGGATTCCAAACAGTTTAGTTATGAAAATGGCCATCCCCATGTAATTTACAAAAAGTCTACCCTTCAGCAACGGCATATGTATGATCACTCCCATTGTGGGGTTTCTGGTAAGTGAGCGACATACTGTATTGTGTTGCCATTCTGTTTCTTCTGGCAAGGTTAATAATAATAAGCAAATAATAATTTGAGTAATTAAAATGGTAATGTCCAGAGTCCTCTTTAAAAATGTCACCTATCAGTAGTGTTAAGTCAATCTTGGAATCTCTTTGAAATAGAAATCTGTGTAAAATTCTATTACTTTTGAAGGGGAAAGAAGCCTACCTTATTTCATCCAGGTAGTAGTTATAGTTCTCATGCACAGGGCTTTCATAGCACTCGGTGCCGTTTGCTTAGTTTGATATTTTTATGCTAGTGACAGGAACCTAGACACTTGACTAAGACTTGAAGAGTTTTAAGGTGGTATTCGAGGATGTAAACATATATAGAAGGAGCAACACACCTAAACTTCAGTGGCCAAAGAAGGCTTCATGGAAGAAGTGACTTCTAAACTGAGGCCCAAGGGGTAAGACAGGGTAGCTGGCAAAGATAGAGGGAGCAGTTGGTAGCGTTCCATATAGAGGAAACAGCATTTACAAAGGTTCTGAATCTGAAGAGAGAATGTCATGTTCCAGGAATTGACAGTTCATATAACTGGATATTAGAATGTGGGTTGGAGAAATAGGGGTGAGATTCTTAGTAGCTGGGGGTGTGGTAGTGAGTGATGAAACTGGAGAAATTAGAAGAGGCCAAATCAAATCACAAAGGCCTTATAAACCACGTTAAGGAGTTTGTTTATCCTAAGTGTGCTGGAAAACCATTGAAAGGTTTTATGCAGTAGGAATCACATGGTCAGATCTGGATTTCATAAAGATTACTCTGGCAGCCATCTAGAGACTGAATTAAAGAAGAGCAAGACTAGAGCTAGGGAATTAGGAGGCTGTTCAGCCTAAAGATTAGAAAACTTAGAGAAATAGAGGACATGGCATAGCATAGTAGAAAGAACACGGGCTTTGGTGTAGCTTTGGACAAATTACCCAACCTCTCTGAGTACTCCTTTTATCACACATTAGTTACTCAGTTAAATTCTGGCTATCATTATTGGGGTAACTGTTTCTAGCATTAAAAGAAAACACACACACACACACACACACACACACACACACACACACACACACACACATATATATGACTAGATTTGTTCTTCCATGTAGTTATAGTAGCTGAAACTAGGGGCATCGTATTTCAAAGGTAGATTTCAGCTTAATGCAGAGAAGAATTCTCCAACAAGTACTTTTAATGAAAAATGGGGTGGGTTCAATACGTAGATTTGTAAAAAACAGAGTGGATTGCCTTGCAATTAGTGAATGCATCACCCTTTTGTTTCTTTTGTGTCCTTCATGGGCTCCTTATTTTCTGCTTCAAGTATAAGTGTCCTTTAAAGTTCTTTCCTCAACTAACTGTTCTTATTCTGCATTCTCTCTTCTTGAGTAATCTCTGAGGTCCTTTGTTGGTCAGAATAATTAGTACTAGAAAAAGGCCACTTCAAGTGAATCCACTTAGGGCATGAAATAAAATTTCTTACTAAATAATAAAAAAATTATTTAATTGGTCTTTGTATTGAGTAAGGAATCTAAACATTATGGAAGTAGTTTATTTTATCTTATGTTTAAGAAAGTTAGGCTATAAGTACAACTATCTATAATTTTGTAAAAATGAGGATTAAAATATTTAGTTGTTTATTATAATTTTTTAATAGTCAAATTATCCTCTTTTGTTGTTAATCCTAAACCAAGGATATTTTTCCATTGATTTTTAGAGAGAGTGGAAGGGAAGGGGAGAGACAGAGAGAGAAACATCAATGTGAGAGACACATTGATTGGTTGCCTCCTGCACATGCCCTGACCATGGTCAGGGATCAAGCCTGCAACCGAGGTAAGTGCCCTTGACTGGAATCGAACTCAGGATCATTGAGTCTGCAGGCCGATGCTCTATTCACTGAGCCAAACTGGCCAATGCAAATCATCCCCTTTTGAAGTGCCTATCTCATTAAGTGGTCTTACTCAGGCAGATCATTATTTTTTAACTAGAGGCCCGATGCATGAAATTTGTGCAAGAGTAGGCCTTCCTTCCCTGGCTGCCTGCTCTGGCTTCCCTCTGGCACCCAGGACCCGGGCTTCCCTCACAGTCCCGGCTTCATCCGGAAGGTCGTCTGGTCCAATTAGCATATTATACTTTTATTCTTTTAGATGGTTTAGGCATGAGTCCAATTGCCATCATGAAATTCTGCTCTTTTTGGAGAAGATTTTCTTCTACAATCTGCCCCCCTGCATTACTGAGACTGTTTCATAAATGGTCCTTGCTTTTAATCTGTTCCATTCAATAGCCATTTCTACCACCCCTAGCACCAGCTGATTTAGTTCATACCCTCATTGTCTCTTGCCTAGTACACTGTAATTGCTTCTAACTGGTCTTTCTGTCTCCACCTTTGTCTTTCTGTCACCTAGATCTGGCTGTACTACACACCTTCAAACACTTCACTGGCTTCCCAATAATGGGAATATGGTAGCAGTCCCCTAAGTTCTGTGAGAATGTCATTAGATGTTATTGGGGAAAAAGTGTTTTGTATTCAATAAGTTTGGGAAATGTCTGGTTAAGAACTACTGATCTTAATTGTGATACTATTTCAAAAGCTTAGTTCAAGACACTAACTTACTGAGTTTCAAAAATATTTGACTGATTCTTCTCATGGTCATATTCATCTTATTTCTTAAAATTTATAACTTCTCCCAAAGTCATATTTAAAAGGAAAGGTTAAAGAAGTTAGAAAGATAGAGAAAGTATCACTTTCTGTCAAGTATATAAATTAATCTAATTTTTTCTTACTAAATTTTTCAATAAGTGGAGGGTCGAAAGATTTTCTGTATATAAGGAAATATAAGTGAGATATGCAGAGGACCTGTACCTGCTCAAGTTTATTAAGTGAAAATGAATATAAATGAGGCAAGTATTTACAAATGCCATAGCACTAACAGATTTCCTGTGCACTGAAGAACCAAATGTCTAGAAAACCGTGGGTCAACCACAGTCCACACTGAGATGTAGTTTAAAGTGAGTCATGCTGGAATCATTCTAATGCCCTCTACCTCTAGTTTTTGGAAAAGAAATACTCTGGGTACTCTGTCAGTATAAATAGTTGTAGACTGCAAAATTAAGTGAAAAATTTATTCACAGCTTTTTAGAATTGAGATAGCTAGTGTACTAGAATTGCTCTAATTAAGATAGTTTAATAAGAGCATCTTACTTTAAGAATAAATGCTCATCTTAGGAATAGACTTTTGCAACATTAATGTTCTTCATCAGAACTGTCTTAGGCTGTTTAGAAAATTAGTGCTCTAGTTGCTTTTTAAACAACCTTAAGTGATTTTTTAAAATACCTATTCTAGCCGAAACCGGTTTGGCTCAGTGGATAGAGCGTCGGCCTGCGGACTGAAGGGTCCCGGGTTCGATTCCGGTCAAGGGCATGTGCCTGGGTTGCGGGCACATCCCCAGTAGGAGATGTGCAGGAGGCGGCTGATCGATGTTTCTCTCCCATCGATGTTTCTAGCTCTCTGTCTCTCTCCCTTCCTCTCTGTAAAAAATCAATAAAATATATTTAAAAAAAAAAAAATAAAATAAAATAAAATACCTATTCTAAATTTAAAAGTATTATGATGTAATCACTTACTGGAATAATGTGAAATGATTATTTGAAAATTCTTTTTATTAAGTAGTTCATTTGGTTTATTTTGTTCTTACAAGCAGTTGAATATTAATAAAATATTTTTATTAAGTAATTCATTAGATTTATTTTGTTTTCATAAGCAATTGAATGTTCGATTTTTTTATATAATTATTTTGAAAACTTTAAAGAGTTTAATTTTCTCACTACTGAGTTTCCTCATCCCCTCCCCTCACTTTGAAAAATCTTAATACGTTAGAGAATTTATGAGAAGCATGTCTAAAGGAAAGACCTATAAATAAATAAATGTAATTAATGAGCCTATCTGAACTAGTTAATTGTTTCTGTTGTAGACCTCATAGGTGGCAACCCTTGGTGGCTGAATGACACATCTTTTCCTTCCGCACCACCAATGAATGGCACACACAGACCGAGGAGATCGATAAGCATTGAGCGCTTTGTGGAGACATTAGTCGTGGCAGACAAAATGATGGTGTCCTATCATGGCCGCAAAGACATTGAACATTACATTTTGAGTGTAATGAATATTGTAAGTTTGATCCCTCTACATAATATTTTAATTTAATAGTTTTGTTATGTGTGTTTTTTTTTTTTTTTTTTACTAAGGTCATAGATTTTTATTGGGAAATAATGATTTTAAGAATTTATTCCTCTAAAATGAAAAAGACATGATTTACTAATGTTTCAATTCCATAGAAAATGCATTTAAAGGTGATCTTATTATTTTCAGATAATATGACTTTTTAATTAATTAGGTCATATTAAATCTTGTTTATGAGGTTTTCTTTAACTTGACACATCAGCTCATCCTCTTAATCACTGTGTTGTCATTCATCTTTAGGAGAAAATATTTCTTGAGGTAGACTTGGACCTTTTACCGAGGCATCTGGAGGGTATTGCTCTAAGTGACATGGGATGAAAGAAAACTGTTTTTATACATAGTAGCTAAATTCATGAAAAATTATTTTGCCACTCTATAAAAATATTAATCACCCTATGATTTTTGTCTGACTTTGTGTCTTTTCTTATTTTCTGGAGGTCAGGTTGCCAAACTTTACCGTGATTCCAGCATAGGAAACGTTGTGAATATTATAGTGGTCCGCTTAATTGTTCTCACAGATGATCAGGTAAGAATGAGTTCGTTTATAAATCTAAAATCTTGACAGGCTATAGAATTATGTATTATAAAATAATATATTGTATTATTGCTCCTCTTAGGAAGTTCTAGTTGAATATGATTTTCAGCACTGAGCATTTAGCAAATTTTTTAAAAAATATATTTTTATTGATTTCAGAGAGGAAGGAAGAGGGAGAGAGAGACAGAAACATCCACGATGAGAGAGAATCATGGATCGGCTGCCTCCTGCACGTCCCCCACTGGGGATTGAGCCCACAACCCGGGCATGTGCCCTTGGCCGAAATCGAACCTGGGACCTTTCGGTCCCCAGGCCGACGCTCTATCCACTGAGCCAAACCAGCTAGGGCACAATTAGCATACTTAAAGTTTCCAAGAATATACCTCTTATGTCATGTTAGAGCTATATATGTATATTAGCTGTGTGTTTCAGTATAAAAATAAACATTTGCACAACAGACCTTCTAATAGTGGTTTTGGTTGATTTTATATGCTGATAATCACACATATTCACATTATCTTAAAGCTAGAACTAGAAAGAATGTTTGTTTAATAGTACACTAAATTAGCTCTAGGTCAGATATTACAGAGATAAAAATTGGCAAGAGAGTATTCCTAGAAACCACTGCTTCTAATTATAGCCCCACTTTAGTCTTCAAAAGTTTTAACAACTGACCTTAGTAATTTGTTTGGAACATTTCTGGTATGCATGTTGTATTGCAGCCAAACTTGGAGATAAACCACCATGCAGACAAGTCCCTCAATAGCTTCTGTAAATGGCAGAAATCCATTCTCTCCCACCAAACTGATGGAAACATCATTCCAGAAAATGGGATTGCCCACCACGATAATGCGGTTCTTATGACTAGGTATGGTTTGTTGCAAGTATTTTACCTTTGATTGTTGTGTTTGATTTTGTAACTATATTTGGTTCTATCTAAAGCCTTATTTAGGCAATGAATATAGAGAAAGTAAAATGGTAATTTATTATTCACCACTGAGAAAGAATATATTACACTGTTATTGTGTTTGCATCAAATAAGAAAAAGGAAGATTTAGTTGAGATAGCAATTTAATAAATATCTTACCTTCTACTAAGGTCTGTTCATAGGGTTTAATTGGAAGCACATATTTGCTTTGTGAATTGAACATACTAAATGCAAGATTTTTAAAAGCATGAGAAAAATATATTTTAAAACTAAAAATGTCATCACTCTTGGTTATAACATATATTAATTATTCTTAACTCCAAGTGTTAAAAGAGTGGACATCAGTAGTTACACCGTTTACTTAGATGAATGTTTATTTAATTAAAACTATTTAAATTAAGATATGTTTTACATATATATATATACATATATACATATATATATATATATATATATATATATATATGAAGCTTTATTATACTATATGTTGAATAGCTTGTCTCTCAGGCAAACATTATTTGATGGTAACCCAATGATTGCATCTATTTCTTAACCAGTTTTACAAAACTATTTTCAGATCCATTTTATTCCTTACTTTCCAACAACTCTGTGAAGTAGATATTGTTATTATTTTCCCCATGTAAGAAATGGGGAAACTGGTTCAAAATACTAAGTTGCTCAAGATCATTCGGCTAATAAGTGAAAAAACAGGACTCAAACCCTGGTGTTTCTGTCTATTTTAATTATATTATGCTGTCTTGGATTTTTTATACTTGAGTTATGATTGACTAGAAGTATGCTTAAATCATTTTAAGATAAGTTTGTCTTTTGACCTCTAATCAGCATTTAATATTGAAAACAATAAATAATAACAAAGAACAATAAACAAAGTGGAAGCATTGTTCTATCTTAGCTAAATGCAATAAATAGCCCTTGTTATTTTGATTGTTTCTTTTAATTTGCAAGGCGGTATTTAGCATATACTTCATCTGGTGTGCTCATGGCTCTACATCAAACACTATGGAGGGAGTAGAAAGAATATGGGATTAGAATCTTTAGACCCAGAATCTTGAGTGAATTTAGCTTCAAAAAAATTTCTCTTAGAGTTGTAAAGTTTCTGAGTTTATTTTTTTAACAGTTAGACTTACTTTAATTGCCTTCATCTACCTGACATCATAAACCGGAATAATTTGTTTATGACATGCTTGTTGGATAAAAACAAAATGGCACAGTTTTATATTCATATGTGTCGATATATCAGTTTGATAAATTCTGCAATTCCTCAGCATCTTGTGATCTGGAATGATTCCCACATATATTTGAGAAGTTAAAATATTTTAGAAATTGTGCAAATATAGAAAGCTTTGTGTAAAAATATATACAGATATCATTAATGTCAATGAAATTACTTGAGGAAAATGTCTATTAATATGGTTAGGAAAATGATTACAGATATTTACATTGGCTCCTGTATTTATATTTATAAAGCCCTACCTCATCACAAAGACAATGCCCAGGGGCTCTTGATGCTCACATTTTTATTATTGTATCTGCATTGGATTTGTAACTTTTGCATCAAGTCACAGGAGTTACAGCAGCAGTGCACATTTGTAAGTATTTGAGGAGTGAAGTACATCTGGGCAGTTAGCCACCCTGTCTTTGCACTGGCTACATTTGGCTGTCTGACTTGTTACTCTGAATTGGCCCAGATATTTTTTGATCCTCTGCAGAGACCTTTGCTTCAATAAGAACTTTTAGTGCTTTTTTTGATGCCTGAGATTTGAACATAAAATTTTCTTTGTAAACTTGTCTTGAAATGGTCAGACCAGCACTAGAAATGATCTCAGGATTTAATAGGACAGTATTTTAACGGGTTGATATCTCATGTCATTTTATATTGGTTATGTAGTGGAGGTTAGAAATATGTCCCTTTGGGCAGTATAGAATGGGTTTGAATTGTTATTGAAGTCTCAAACTAACTTTTACTTTATTTAAAAGTCTACAAGTAATTTTGAATTATTAGGGCCACAGAGTGACTTAGCCAAAGGAGATGGCCGTCATCTCTAATATTTAGGTTTTTGTTGTTGTTGTTGTTTGGAGGTTTTACCAGTGCTTGACTCTCCCTTATAAATGTTTGATTTGTGAAATTGAATATGTTTAAATCATACTACTACTTTTAGTAAAAGTAATTATGAGAATTCCATAGACAATTTTATAGTAATGTTGAAAACTGTTTTATGTAACTCACTTATTAACATATTCAGGGCTAGGACTCTGCCATTTAGAGGTACGATAGTGATTTATGTTTGCTTGAAATGGCGGCTTACTAGGGAGAATGTATAATGTATCTATCGAGAATTCCAAAGAAAAATTAATGGATATGTTTATCTCCACTAGGTCTAATTTTGTCCTAGGGATTTAAATGTTTTAAGCAGAAAACCATTTGGAACTATAGTTTCTTAGGTAATAATACTAGTTACTTTTGGAAAAGAGTAGAAAAGCTCAAGATGTTATCTCATCTTAGCAAATAAAATTTCATTGTTTTATTTTACTGATATAAATGTAAAATAAACTGTGTGCTACAAAGTTATCAGATCACTGTGACTAGACAGAAAGAAACTAAAGTAAAAAAAAATTTTGTTATTTTACATGGTATCAAAAATATTGAATTAACACCAAAGAGCATATTAAAACTTTATATATATATTTAAATTTTTATATACATTTATTTTTATACATAAGTATATATATATAAAATAAGTGTTATACATCAGCTAACTTTTTAAAAAAATATATTTTATTGATTTTTTTACAGAGAGGAAGGGAGAGGGATAGAGAGTTAGGAACATTGATGAGAGAGAAACGTCGATCAGCTGCCTCCTGCACACTCCCCACTGGGGCTATGCTCGCAACCAAGGTACATTCCCTTGACCGGAATCGAACCTGGGACCTTTCAGTCTGCAGGCCGACGCTCTATCCACTGAGCCAAACCAGTTAGGGCTACATCAGCTAACTTTATCTAATCTTTTTAAAAATAATTGAGGTATAATTGACAAATATACAATTGTGTATATTTAAAGTACGCAACATGATGAATTGGTATACATATACATTTTGTGCTGATTACCATAATCAAGTTAATTAACACACTATCACCTCATAGTTACTTCGTTTCTTATTTCTTTTTTGGGGGTGAGACTGTTTAACATCTACTAATTTAGCAAAGTTCAAGTATACATACAGAATTATTAACTATAGTCACTATAGTCATACTGTGTATTAGATCCTCAGAATTTATTCATCCTATAACTAAAAGTGTGTATCCTTTGACTAACATTTCCCCCACCCCCAACCTTGGGCAACTATCATTCTATTCTCAGTTTCTATGAGGTTTTTTTGTTTTGTTTTGCTCTTGTTTTTTTTAAGATTCCACATATAAGTGAGATCAGAGAGTATTTGACTTACTCTCTTTGGTGTATTTCATTTAGCATAATGCCCTTCTGGTTCATCCCTGTTGTTGCAAATGATAAGACTTTCTTCTTGTTATAACTGAATAATATTTTATTATGTATATACTGTATATTACACATTTCTTTTTTTCCCCAGAGGTTGTCTACCACAAATGCAGTTTTTGTTTATTCTTGTTTTGTTTTTGTTAATCCTCACTCGAGGATATTTTTCCATTGATTTTTAGGGAGAGTGGAAGAGAGAGGGAAAGACAGAGAGAAACATCGATGTGAGAGAAACACATCGATTGGTTGCCTTCTACACAGGGCCTGGGCCAGGGAGGAGCCTGCAACCAAGGTACATACCCTTGACCGAAATCAAACCGGGTCCTTTGGTCTGCAGGATGACACTCTATCCATGGAGCCAAACCAACTAGGGCCACAATTGTAATTTTATTTAAATTTTATTTTTCAATTGCAGTTTATATTCAGAATTATTTTGTATTAGTTTCAGGTGAACAGCATAGTGGTTAGACAATGATATATTTTACAAAGTCTTCCCCTTGATATTTCCAGTACCCACCTGGCACAATACATAGTTATTACAATATTATTGACTATATTTCCTATGCTATGCTTTATGTCACATGACTATTTTGTGACTACCAATTAGGAGTTCTTTTGAAGGAGTGTTTTGGTTTTTTTGGAATACCAGAAGTAGAATTGCTGGGTCATAAGTACACCACATGTTCTTTATCCATTCATCTGTTGATGGACACTTAGGTTGTTTTCATATCTTGGCTGTAGTGAATAGTGCTGCAATGAACTCTGAAGTGCAGACATCTCTTCCAGGTACTAATTTATTGATTTAACTTCCTCTGGATATGTTACCTGTAAGTGGGATTGCTAAATCACATGGCAGTTCTACTTTTAAATTTTTGAGGAAACTCAAAACTGCCAGCAGGGTAGTCTCCATGCATCTCCATCAGCTGAAGGTAATGTTGGGAGATTTCAGGGGTTCTCAATGGCCCAGGCTGCAGTTGTCTGCAGCAGCAGTGAAGGTTGGTTGGACCACCTGGTCTCTTTTCCTCCCAGTGGGGTATGTGATATGCAGCTGGGGAGGAGATTCCTCTTGGTGCCCGGTCCAGCTTGCAGACACCCGTGGAGGAGTGGTGGAGCCGGGGAGAGAGTGCCAGTGCCTGCAGTGTGACAGCAGCTCTAGGAGCTGGTGTACAGGTTGCCCTGCAGTGATGATGGCGTGTGAAATGCGGTACGTACTAAGTGGCTATGAAGACAGAGTCTGACGCATGGGCATGCACGGAGCAGCGGCAGCATTTGGACCCACGATGAGGGCAATGGTGTTGGCTCTGATTTGTGAGGTGTGGGCATGTGTGGAGCAGCCACGAGGTTGGCGTCTGGAGCATGGGTGAATGCAGAGCGGCCTTGGAACCGAGGTTTGGAGTTTAGGAGTCAGCGGAGCTACTGTGGCTCTGG